CCCCAAAACCCCAAAACCCCCTTACTTCAGAATATTATATCAGGTTCGAAATTCTGAGAAAATTATATAAGTTAAAATTAAAAATCAAAGAGGCATCGAAAGATTGTTATTCATTTTTTGGGTATTGCTATTCTCAAATTTATTCCTAATTGATGCCACTCTTTTGCTGTTTCTGCTAAAAGCCAGATTATTATATCTGCTTTAGCCATTCTATGTCTTTATTTGTTCTCTGTGAATTTAAGTGGATGTTTTAAAGTTCTCATTTCGAGAGCCGTTATTGACAGTATTCCTGATTTAAGAGGATAATTTTTGAATTTCATCTAGTTCCTTATGATCGCTTAACTTACCAATAAGGCTTAGATTAAACATTTAGTGAACTGTTTTCTGAGAATTCTGATTATTGCGACTATCAAAATTACTAGGTTAGTTGTACAGATGAATCTACTCCTTTCCCATTCCACTATTTCTTCCAAATGTTTAGTTCCTCTTCTTGAAATTTCTCTAAACACTGCTTGATTCAGGTGCTCCGTAAAATGTTCCTAGGAAGCTTTGACTCAATAGTCTGTTTTAATTACTACCTTAGAATGAAACATCTAAGGAGCCATCAGCAATAAAAGTCACATTTCTTTGAATTGATAATAGTGATTAAATTTCTTGATTCATTAAATTTACCTAGATTTTCCCTTATCTAGTAACTATTTTTCTTGCTCTACTCTGCTTAGAAGATGAGTTTCGATACTTTATGAAATCATGATCGCCAAGATCATCATCTATAGGAATACCAATTTTCTCAGCAGTGGCTAGTTGAACTTCACTCACTTAGTCATAACTTTTGTCTCTACTTGACCTGAGATGCGAAAGGTTAACATTAAAGTTATTCTTAAATTGACTTCTATACATTGTCATGTTCATTTTTTTCTTTCCTTTAAACTCCAAAGAACTGAAGTTTTACCCTTTGGTAAGTACTTTGCCCTAATCATCTCTGAGGGTGACACCATTATCTGCCTATATAAGGTCTGAGGCATTTAAGTGAGAATCAGGCTTATTAGGTTCAAATATGACTTGATTTTATTATTTCATTTGATGCTCGAGCATTTCTATCAAATTATTTTCATTAGGAAGTGGGTCTGGATCTTACACAGAGCTATTAGCTATGCTTTGATTCTTTTAGTGTAAAAGCTTAGCTTCTGCAAGTTTTGGCAATGAGAAATTTGAATTAGGCTGCATATCTTTTTTTGCAGCCGCAGTTGCATTTGGATTGATTTTCTTAACTATAAGAATATTGCCGTTTTAATCATAAGTATAATTCTGATTTTTAATGATATTTTGCTTTTCCTTATCTAACCCTTAGAATCCTGTATTTGTGGTATTAATCATAGAATCTGCCATCAAGACTTTCTGTTATTTTTGAGTCTCATTATTCCTAACGTATTAAAACTTCTTTCTGTTTATCAAATCCCTAAGGTAATCGACTTGCTTTAGTTCTTCTTCATTTAGCTATGGTTCAATTGCCAGTTACTTTGGCTTGGGCTCTTCCTTTTCGGATTCTTATGTCAATGCTGCTAGATCCTATTAAGATAATTTTTTTGTGGTGCTTAGTCTTTGTTGTAACATCTTCTTCATAGAGGTTGTCATTTTAATTGTTAAGGATCTTTCCCTACCTTAGCTCTTGTTCAAAAGCAATTCTTATTCTGCTTTGACTAGTCGTTCTAATTCACTTTGCTTTTTAGAGTTACGAATATATTCCACAGTGTAAGTCTTTCCTGGACCAAAATCTATTTAAGGCCTATTTTGAGTTTATAAAGTATCTACATCAATAGACAAGGGTTCAAGATCCTCTTCCAAATATTTATCATCTCTCCTTAAGTCAGGTTTCATATTATTAGAGCAAATTAGCATTTACATCTCTAGCATGGCCTTTTCGAGAAGAAATGGCTGTAATTTCTGTTATATTGCTATCATTTAAATTCCATGATCAACTCGTTTTAAGATCGATTTTATTGCTTATTATACAAATACTGCTGAGTCCATTGAGTGACTTTGATAAAGCTCAAGTCCATTTTTAATTACTGGATAATTGTTACTTTTTTGTTCCATGAAAATAAAATATTTTATTTTAACCTTATTGCCCTTTTTAAATCTCTTACAATTATTTAACTAAAGGGGTTTTGGGGTTTTGGGGTTTTGGGG